GGGACATCCCATCCGGGAGCTTCACAGAGAGCGACTTGAGGAAAATAGGAGCTATTACTGACAAGGTTTGGTGACTGAGTAGAGCATACAAGTGTAGCCCACGTCGAGGTTTTAGGGGGTTTGCTTTTGTTTGTATCTGTTCCTTGCTAAGCTTTTGTCATTAAATTTGTACAAGATCTTGTGATCACAATTCTGTGTTTTCGCCCATTCAGCAAGCACGCTATATTGATGTCAGCATTAGCGAGTTTCAGAAACATGCCTTTGAAAATTTTCAGCTCTCGTGATGTTTCTTGATATTTCTTTTACCATTTTATGGAGATGTAAACTGAAGTCACCGCAAAATGGAAACTTAAAAAAGCGTATAATCCATTTATTTCGAAACATAACACACATGACTTATACGACCTTTATTTTCGTAAAGGTGTTTTGAATACGAACGAACACAGTCAATGTGAGGGGCAAAAACAGCATTAATATAAATGAACCATAGGATTTTAACTAATATAAGGGTCAATTATTGTGCATTGAGATGAATCGCTTGAAAAGAGAGACTTCGCTTGAAGATGTGATCAGAAGTAAACAAAGGCATAATAGTGCGTCACGTTCAGTCTTTTTTAATATCCAAGGAGTCACTGTGAATAGTATTTCCATATTGTTTAGCTGGCACAAAAACCTCGGACGAGTTATAAAGCGGCATAGTTTCCATGAAGAAAAGTTAGTCTTGGGTGAGACAAACAGAACTGGAGCGAATTTTTAACTCACATCGGTATCGGGTAACAAATATGTTATCGATCGTTTCATCTATTTACATTGTTTGAAGTGCGTGCTGGTGAACGCAACATGCGAGCGAGAAATCTTTAAAATTTTTTAGGTCTCAAAATGCAAAGGATTTTGATTTTATTTTATTCCTTTAAGTTAGAGAAAAATACCGTGAGGAAAATCTTAAAACTGAAAACTTTTCATCTTGTGGAAAAAATAGTGCGTTTTCATGTAGACTGTGGACCGCAAATTAGGATCGCACTTTTCACAAACATGCGAATTCTGGAGTTCAGAACCCAACCGACGATTGCGTTTTTCGCTGCTGTCAATCATCTTAACTGACCTCTTAGGAAACAAAACTTTACTTCACGGGTTCAAAAGGTCATGGTTTGTGATTTGTGGATTTCGATCCGTTTTGTGTGTTTCTCTGTTTCAAGGTTCGTTGCTTGTGATCGTAATTATGATTGACGGCAGCGATAAACACAATTGTGAAGGTGGCTTTTGAACTTTAGAGTTCGCATGTTTGTGAAAAGCGCAGTAAAGTCTCCGTGCAGTCAGTGAGGCCCCTGGATCAGGCGGGATCAATGGGCAGTTAACTGTCTGTTTTAGTATACTTCTGGTTTTCATACAATACAATATTTCTGTCTAGTGTAAATCAGCTCAGTCTGTCGCATTTTATGCGCGTAGAAGGACAACAATTTTTGGAATTTCCGGTTACGTCAAATAAGTCACGTTATACTGTCACGCTATATTTTGGGGCACAGAGGGATTGGGGGAGGGGTGCGTGGAAATAATGCAAATTGTTTCCTGTTTAGAATTAATGGCTAACTTGTTTATTTTTATTCATAATGGTGGAATTTAAAAGTTATTATACAGCCCCCACGTAAAAATGGTACTCTTTTTTTTGGTTAAGAAAGTCTTTCAAAAGGGTACAATGTTCTGAATGAGTTTATGTTTCAGTCTCACATGAGGTTCTGTTGCATGCAATGGTTGCCGACAAGGTTTTATGGTAGCCTGAGTGTGTATAGCCGTCCCCTCCCCTCAGAAAAAATAGCCCCTTTGCAGCCCAGTTAAAAATCGCCTTTCGGCGATTCTTGTTTATTTATAAGTTTAGCCTCTTTTTTTTTTTCTCATGACGTCACTAAAATTCAAACTAAAAAACTATCGATCCTACCGAGATTTTACTTTCACGATGCATTAGAGCAGCCGAAAACTAATTTTCATAAAAATTTTCGTTTCAAAAGGGTTCTTGGTTTTGTGATAGAGTACGCTTGAATTTCTAAGCTTTTGCGTGACGCGGCATTTACATGACGGCCAAGAGGGCTGTCATGTAGGTTAAAAAAATGACTTATTTCAGGACATTTTGCTATCTAAACAGTTCATGTATTAGAAAAATTATTACTTTAATGATTATGAGATTCTCGAAGAATAAATTCACGCTTTTGTAGCAAAACTCGGTAACAGTTGTTTCTGTTGGTTTCCATCCGCCATGTTGGAGCTCATCCAGGCGAGCACCAGCATGGCGTCTCCATATGTTTGGGTAAAACATTTCTTCGGATATCTCGTATTCGAAATAATCCTCTGACCTGAATCTTGGCGAAGGTCTTTGTATATTTACCACCTTTCATTTCCCAGATTCTGGCCTTTATCTATTGAACGGTTTTGATTTTTATTTTGATCTATTTTGAATGGCGTGACACTGAAAACCAGCAATAGGAATGACTGAGGCCCAGACCACACGTATCCAGATATTTTTGCAAACGTATATTTTTTTCCCTCCGTTTTTAAAGAAATACGTGTCCACACATAGCTTACTCGAATCGCTTTCGCCCGTCTATGCGAAAACGCTGAACAATGAAAATACGATAGCATCCCTCACGGAGCATGCGTAATAGTAGTAGCAAATGCGGTACACATCCATTCTCGTCCCCAGAGCCCGTCGTTTCTTGGTCACGTGGTCGGCAAACAAGGGGTCGGTTTTGGTCGGTTACAAATTAAGCCGAGTGGCTCTGGGGACGAGAATGGGTACACATCGCATTCGAAAACCTCCGTTTTGTCCGGCCACAAGTAAACGAGAAGCCAGCGTTTTCAGAAATCCTCACTCTGGTGAGCGTTTTCTCGGAATACGTGTGGACGGTAGCTAGGCCAAACCGGGCAAAAAAAAAAAAAATCGGTTTTCAAACAAAAAGGGATACGTGTGGACGGGGCTTGGGTGGAAACTGACCCTTTTTATACTTTATACTTTGTGCATGGAACAATGACACTTAACAATGATGCTTTTATGGATGAATTAGCGGGTGCTTTATTCCCCGTAATAGAAAAACATATTAAATATTCATTTTTTATATGCAAATTCAAAAGACGAGCAAAAGCAAGCTAACTTACCTTATTTAAGAGAATTCTGTCATCAAGACTGACGACGCTGATCAAAGCCACTAAGGTAAACCCAGTATTTACTCAGTTAAAACAAACTCATCCCAATTTCTCCAATATCATGTGTCGAGCGTAATTTTATCATGAAAGCTACAACAGCTGAGGCTAATAAGGCCACTCAAGCTTTCTAAAACGAAACGACTGATGTACATCACTGAATTCGGGTTACTTTATGGTTGCTATTTGATTTCTGCCGGTTTAGTATCTACGTTTGCCTCTCGTCCCTCTCGCTCTGGGTTATTCTAGCTCTAGAAATAACTTAATTTCCGCGGAATAGTGAGTTGTACATGTTATGCTGAACTTGTGAATACGTTAAACTATATCACAAATTTAAGATTGCCCGAAGAGCCGGCCAGTTCAGTTATTTCGATAACACCGAAACATAAAGAACTCCTGTCAGGGAGCTGTGGCCCTCCAAATAGGTCCATATATACTCAGCATACACTATTGGCGGTTGAGATCTGTATGAGGAGAAAGAAGAAAGAAAACCGACTCTGGAACCAGGTTCAATGATGTCGTCATTCGCGTGACCCATTTTTTAAATCACTCAGCCTCCTGTTAGCAAAGCAGAATTGTTTCTAATGAATTACTATCTATGATAGGACATGAAACAAGCTGGTCTATGAGTTGAAGATGGCATATGAAATATTAAGCGGAGAAATTTCTGAAATTTCACCCCGGCGATAAATTCGCGATAAATTTGTTACGTAACCGAAGAGATCTGATACAAGATTGATGGGTCGCAAGCAACAAAGATCCCTCGAGGAGTTCGAGAAAAAAACCCCCAAGGAAATAAAAAATGCGCTTCTTCTTTGGATTTTATCAAATTATGTATTCCAGGCCGCATTTCATTGAGAATGCGGAATGGCAACTTCACCTTTGTAAGCGTTTATGTTGTCACCGTTCATTGAATAGATCTGCTGAGCTCAGCGCATTAAATCAAAAAAGAATTTTATATACCTAGTTGGCGGATGTATTCGGATCTATTTTTTATTTGTGGGGATGGACAAGCTGCATTTATGTCAGAGTAGCTAAGTGTGATGAGCGTGTCAGTGTAAATTGTATTTCTCCTGTGACAACATGTCGCTCCTTGTGAAGAGATTCTGGAGATCAGTCGGGCACTTTAGCGCAAGCGCGGCAAGAAAAACTCCTTCTCAGAAAAATGAAGGACTATTCCTAGATGTGACAGATTAGTGTTAATTAAAAGCCAGCTAATTTTTGAACCTCAAACTGTTATTCTGAACTTCTTCTCCTGCCTATCCGTTTAACAGATTAAACTCAGGATGGCACTTCCCATAGCTGTTATTAATGTTCTTGTCTCTTGTATTGGTTTAATAGCAGGTATGTGAGAAAATATTTCACTTAGTGTAGTCAAGTAACTAAGTTAGAATCGGTAAAATACAGGAGCCCCGTATATCGCCGTTCTCCTGGTGTGGTAGTCGCCCAGCCTGTACGTATATTTATCCTTTACAGGCGGAGGCATTTTTTTCTGTCGATCAGTTTAAAATGGCCAGACTACCCAGACTGGCCTGGGTCGCTACTGTCGCTACTAAACAACACAATCCAAGAACCCCTGGTAAATCTATAAGGAATCTTGAAAAATTAATTCAGACTCTGTTTTTGTTCTTTATTCTCTCCAGGACAATCTACTTTACTTAGCCCTTCGCAAAGTACTGTTGCTCTAAACCAAACAGCAAGTCTTAACGCTTCTACTGCGTCCACGTATTCCCCTAATTCAACAATCATTCATTATCAGACGTCTTATTTAAAACCTTCATCACCAATCACAGCTCTTGCTCATAGTAGCGTACCGACCGCTCCTCCAATCACCACTTCAGCAAGTGAGTAAAGTAGTATTTACAATTTTCTCCCTCCCTTACTTACGTCTCACTGAACGGTATATGAATCCACATTTTCCGGTTTAGTGTTTCAGTCCATACCACCAGGGGCCTCGGCTCGAGCAAACGCACACTTGGGTACAAAGACAGTTTTAAAAGGTACCAAACCTAAATGTGACAAAGAGGACACAGTCCTAAAGTCAAAACCAAGTCAGGAATAAAGTCCAGTTTGTAACTTAAGGTGGCCCGAAGCTATTTATATGCGAGTGCGCGTTGGTTATGTTTTTGAATCGCGTTTGTCGGCAGGAATGATTTCACCGATTTCCATGATTTTTGGCATCCTTAATAAAGAATACAAAGTAAGTTTGATAAATAGAAATTCTCTTATCTTGCCCCGCATTTTCTGATTACTCAGTTTCTTGCAACTGAAGCTTTGGGCAAGAATACCCTAGCAGATAGGAGATAGTCTGTCGGCAGTTCTCCTCTATTTGTGTGTCAACTTGTGTTAGCGTTGCATTTTAAGGCTAAATTTGACCAGCTATTTGTGCAGCGAGTTCTACGGTCACGATTGACTTAAAACTTGCGGATATAAAACTAGAGAGCTCTGAGGCTTATTTGCCGAAGTGAGGGGAAAATCTGTCCTCGGGTTTTGAAATTATTGACAATTTTCGTAAAAATGCGGTTTTAAACGTATGCCGATATCTCAAACGTTTTTATACCTATAAGAAAATATATAGCATTTATAAAGTTCGACCACTCTTTATTAAGGACGCCAAAAATTATAGAAATCGGTTAAATCACTCCTGCCGAAAAACCCGATTCAAAAACATAACCAACGCGCATTTAAATGGTTCGGGGCCGTTCGGGCCACATTACATTTCTTTTAGGCAGTGGGACCCAGTGGCCAGCAGTTATCGAAAGAACGCACAAAATAAAATAGCGATACAAGGCACCGAAATCATAAGCTAAATCATTCTCTTGGCTAAGTCAATTCAATAAAATACGACTATGAGAAAAAAACTGACTAAATTTGTTCCGGTTCAGTCAAGTTATCAAATGCTTTTACGTAACATCGTGTTACGGTTCGTAGCATTGTTCTCACGACGGTGAGAGTCTTTCCTTTTGTAGTTTTCTACAATAAGATTACGTAATTATGTTTGTTGACATGTTATGAATATTTGTATAAATATCGATGTATTAGCGTTTTTGGGGGGTTTACCTCGGTGTAAAAACCTGTGAAGTCTTTCATTCTTTTCTAGCTAATATTTTCCTTGGCTCTATTGTGTTGACTTCTCAGTGGCTTCTTTGTATTCATTGTTTTACGTCACTCGTGAGTTTCACAGATTTTTACCCAGAGGATGAGCCATCTCGTCTTTTGGACGGCCGCTAGTTTGTTACCGAACTTAATATCACTAAATTTAGTTTAGCTCTAATCCTCGGAGCTCGATACACTGCTTTCGATCGAGGAGTACGTTCCCGGTTTATTTTTTGTCTCACTGGGTTTTTTATTCCAGGTTTTCGTACCGGTCAGTGCATCACTGCTATGCAGTTTTTTCCTAGGTTTTTTCTCTTAGCCTTAAATCTTTGTTTTGTCTAGATCTTTTCATTGTTGTTTTTCATTTCCACTATTTCATATTTCATTTTTCACGTTTTGCTTCACGTCCGCGTGTCCTGGTAGATCTTATTATAGATTTATTAATAATTTTGACACTAAGTCTTAGATTATTTGTTAGTTATTGTTGAATATTATTGAATTGTAATTGTTATGTATTTTTTCTGCGTTGTTATCCCGACTATGTTGCCACTACGTATTCGCTAAAATTTGTATGTTTTGTTAATAAAGCGCTGGTCCTTACTGTCCATTAAGCACCCAGCACCAGTCACACTCCATTCTGTTGTCGCGTACTTTATTCGGCGTTTAGCGCGCTGTGCGGAGGGTAGTAATGAAATAAACAGTCGCACAGATCAAGTGCAGGTGGATCACTCCACTCTCAGTGACTCGTTATCTAATAAACTGAATCCTTCGGCTTTGCAATCACTTACTAATGGAAACTGATGAAAAATAAAACAGACATAGCTGGTCAGTAGTTGAAGAGTAAAGCAGCCTTCTTTGATTGTTTTTCTCTCTCAACAGATAACGAGGACGATGAGAACGAAGAAGAGGAAGACAAGAAAGAGAAGACAGCGATAATCGCGGCCAGTTGTTCGGGTGGGGCTATACTGATCATAGGGGTAGCTCTTGTCATATGGAGTCACAGAAAAAAACACGATACATGAACAAGTTAAAGAAATGTTAACGCGTAATTATATTATGGGAAAACAAAGTTCACTTGTTGTCTCCCAACTACGATGTTTCCGTCTCGCCCCATTCCACCATCAGTTTTACATACCTTTGCCGGGGAGTATGTGAGTCAAAAATAGCTCTTTAGAAAAAAGCGAAGATTAAAACGAAAACGATAAGGTTCACTATGTCAATATGCTTCAATATAATTAACATGAAAATTTCAGAAGACAAGATGAATTTGTTGGAAGAGACTTGGGCAATTGCATAATATTCTAAATTAAGAATACCTTTTCAAAATAAATGTTAATTTTCAGTTGTTGTTTCGTTGTAAGAGCTCCTCCACCACAGCTCCGCCATTTCATAAGAGGAACGGCAGGTGAGAGGTAATGACAACACAAGCACTTGGATAATGATGGGAACCGTGAATAAACAAAGCAGATGTCTTCCCTTTAATTTATCCCTTCTCGTCATACTCTGACGCGGCTTTTATCACTTTTAGTTGCGGTTTAGAGCATAGTGTCTGTTGGGACGCGCTCGCGCTAAGGAAACTCTGACCAGTCCACACCAGGTTCGGCGCGCGTTACGAACTGAATGGCGTCTTACGCACTAATGACAATCACAAAGTTTCTACACGTGGCTCCCGCTTGTAAATAAAGACAGTTGGCAGACATCTGTAAAAGCCTTAAGTGACATTGCCCGGCTTTCTCATTTCGCTCTCCTTCAACGACTTTTTCTGAAAGTAGTGAAAAGACTATTTGAAACCCAGTTTTGGAACTGACTGGCCGTGAAACATCCAATCGAAGATAGCAAAATCAAGCAAGAAAAGGATTCTTCACAATCTTGGCTTTAATACGACGTAATTTGAACCAAAAGAAAACCGAAAGACCAACTCAAAATTACAGGAAATTAGACGTTAAGTATCCGTTAGCCTACGTTCCAGCCGGCCACGCATCGTCTAAACCATTTGTACAGAGCGTCTGCGAATAAGTGCACAGAAGCTCGTTCTGATATCCAGCAGAGTCGCAAGGATATATGTGACCGTTTCTGATAGGCGGGTTTCTTACGCGCGTCACGATTGGCCTAGTTCTCACTTGTGCGTGACGGTTGGGCGCAGTGATATGTCAAATTCACAGAAGGGAGTTGGCAAGGAGCGTTTACGGTAAACAATGAAAGAGTAGCCTGCGTTGCAGCCGGCCCAGGCACTCGTCTAAACCATTTGTATAGTCTGTGACGCTCTATACACAAGGTTTAGGGCGTCTGCGACGCAGGCAATGAAAGAGCAGTTCGAACTTAAAAGCCTTCTTCTTAGACTTTTAAAAAACTGGACAACAAAAAAAAAAATGCCGTGAGAGAATTCCTTCAAGGCCAAAATGTGTTATTAAATTTGCCGACTGGTTTTCCAGCGTCTTCCAATCGCTGCAGATGCACTGCCGCGTATTCTGTAGTCCAGCCGACAGTTCTAGTGCAAGAAATCATGATATTCACAGACAAACGGTTTGATAAGGCTCTCGATAAGAAAAAAATATCCTCTGGAACCCAGGGTATGCACTGTGTAATCTAAAGCAAGAAACTGATCTCTGCATTACGTTCTTCAAGCTGACTCTAAGGTCACGTTTCACACTATCACGAGCTCATTCTCGTCACGAGCAAAGAGCTATGTTTGGCCTGTCAACACTTTATTTCAAATCGGACTAATCACAAACCGCGTAAGAAACTAGCCAATCAAAAACGCCAATATATGTCCTTGCGACTCTGCGGGATTCGAAAACGATATTGTGCACTAATTCGCAGACGTTCTATACAGAAGGCTTAGAGTGTCTGCGGCGCAGGCTAGGTATCCCTGAAAGCAGGTAAATATACTAGTATAAACTTATTGCAATTTACTTCTTTTTCAGTTTTTTTTTTTCACATTTATCACTGTATATGACGAGATGCGGTAATGATGTACCAATTTGCACTAACTCCTGCAACGAAACCATAACATACCATACAGAAATATCTGTCTGTGATCATAGAGATTCAAGCTTTAACACGAAAACCAAGAAATGATTAACAAATGCTGACAGTCATCTTTCCTTGTGTCAGGCATATGTTAAATCAAATGAACGCCACTCATAAAAACACAAAACCAAAGTTGCGGGATTGTGATCAGTATCTAACTGTTGACACCAGATGATAGCAGTTCTAAAGTAGATGCTGTTGATGAACCAGCAGTTTGTGGGCTGGCTGCCCTGTCGGCTGGCTCTAATTGCAGACTATATTCAGATAATGAAGGGCACTTTGCGATGCTTTTTCATGAGCAGAAGTTTTAGTTAATCCCATCCCACTGCAAACTGTCGGTGGAGTGGTGTTCAGTCTAACAAAACATAAGTAATTACCAGAAGATCCCTTTTGAGAGAAATCATGATATTCCACAGAAAAACGACTCCGTTTTCCTTTTTCTTCAAGTGAAGAGCAAAACTCCTCATTGACGCCGTCATTAACACCAGAATGTGAAAATGGGTGAATTAGACGTGTCAAATTATCATTATCATCTTCATCATTACCAACATCATCATCGCTGGCCAAATGGTCATTAAGCTGGCTTAACAGATAGGGAACTGGTTTGGATGAGCAACCACTTGAGACTGAACTTTGGCCTTGAGACGCTCCCAGCGAGTTGTCACGAACATTCCTTGATTCCGTA